TGTAGGGATTTACTTTGAAAGGAACAGGATGCTGGTTGAAATCCAGGTAAGTTTTAGCATTGCAGGTTTGAGCTGGCAGGTGGAGAAGTTGAGGGAGGTGACTGAGGTTGGTTTGATGTGTCACCCAAAGTATACCAGCAAAATGCACAAACGACCAAACAACAATACAGGACAATAACATCAGTTTGTATTAAATGCAGTTAAAGCTTAGTTTTGATGTATTACTATATCACGACTGCAGGGACTGGTGTCCACATTTACTTTATGTCTGTTATAGTGATTGGCCTTATCAGTTCACATTTCCTTGTATTTATTTTGTGTATATTATTTGTATAATGTACTAATTTTGTTCCACTTGTACAATGACAATAAAGATATTCTCGTCTTGTATGTGTGGGTCTTAAACAGCACAGTGAGGTTTGTGTATATTTGGACACAAGATCTGTTTATTTGCATGTTCACTGAAACATATTGTAGTTATAATTACATATTGGACATGGACTTAATGTAAGTAAGTCCACTTCTCTAACTACTCCTTGACGGTCACCTCAGCAGCTCACCTTCCTGCTCCAACCGCTCCTTCCTTTGTGGTAACACAGATCAGTGGACCTCCCTGACTTCCTCTCCAGATTTTCCTCTGAAAGGCAGAAAGTAAGCACCCTGGCTCAAGCCTTTTATTATTTCTCTGTGCAATCTTCTGGAAAAGATTATCCCTAACTGGTCTCTGCCCTCTACCCTGCACCTCCTCTGTGTGGCTCCCAGTCAGTCCAGCCAATGCAACATACAAACTTCTATTAACTTTGTTAACAAAAGACTTTTAAGCACAACCATTCCCCGTCTCCCTGTTTGGGTTTTGCTCTTGACTTGGTTTTACCACCAGTGTAGCCAGTTCATGACAGTTAAGTCTCTTTTCCACTGCTGGAACTGCAGCTGCAAGAACACAACAAGAAATCCTGTTCAGTCGATCCATTTCACTTTGATCTCCAAACAAACTGAAGTGATTCCCGCGTCTCCTCTAAGGCTGTGGGACAGTAGGCTTGAATATTGAAGGTCAGACGTGCAGGCATCGCATTAGAAACAGCAGCACTGAGAGCACACGCTCCCTCACAGTCACAAAAGAATTAACTAGAATTAAAAAGCTTATTTTACCGCTATGTGCACTAAATGACCAGAATGCAGATTCTCTGCAGCAGATTTGTAACAGTGTTACATTTTATTATACTTTTAAATGTTCTTTACAGATTTCAACTTTTATTTATATTCTATTATCATCATCTGTATTTCATTTTATTAGGCAGCACTCATAGGGATCATTCTAGGAGTCAAATGAACTACAACATGATATAAAGCCCTGATTGATTGATTGATTGATTGATTGATTTGTAGTGTAGCTCTCTGTGCTAATTTGTAGATCTCTAATTTAGTAAGCCATTGTCGCAGCTTTGAGGTTTCCTATCATGATGCAAAATAACTGATAGATAAGAGATTTTCCCCTCACTGACTGCAGGGAGCTTTGGCTGGTTTAACATCTGAGATTTGCACTAAAAAGCAAGTTCAGTATCCTTCAAACATCAGAACAAAAAGGAAACTGTAACTGATAAAACAGAAAAATCTAAGCCCACTGAGGTGATTCAGCTGTCTGACTAGATGCTTCCTCAGTGCTCAGTGAGTGTTCGCTGCTCCAGCCTGGTCCTGCAGTGTCCGCCCACTCTGGCTGGAGACCGGAGTCCACACCTGCTTGGTCCACCTGTTCTTCATTGCTGGCAATCAGTAGGAGGAGCATTTAAGATCAGCATCTCCACCAACTCTCTTCCAGTCCATTAACTACCTTATGGTTTTTGTTGTGTTCAAATTTTTCAGACGGAACTTCAGGAGAAAGTTCTGTCTTTGAAAAAGATTTAATTTGCTTTGGCAGTTGAAATGAGAAGTTTACAGAGAGCCGTGGACCTCTGTGTGAACCAGCAGCCTGCTTTATAAGAAGGATAACAAATCCTCCCCGTCCATGTCTGACCTCGCCTGGTATTCATTTCAATTCAGTTCAATTCAATTTTATTTATACAGCGCCAAATCACAGCAACAGTCGCCTCAAGGCGCTTTATATTGTAATGTAGATGCTACAATAATAGATACAGAGAAAACCCAACAATCATATGACCCCCTATGAGCAGCACTTTGGCAACAGTGGGAAGGAAAACCTCCCTTTTAACAGGAAGAAACCTCCGGCAGAACCAGGCTCAGGGAGGGGCGGGGCCATCTGCTGTGATTGGTTGGGGTGAGAGAAGGAAGACAGGATAAAGACATGTTGTGGAAGAGAGACAGAGGTTAATAACAGATATGATTCATGCAGAGAGGTCTGTTAACACATAGTGAGTGAGAAAGGTGACTGGAAAGGAAAAACTCAATGCATCATGGGAATCCCCGGCAGCCAACGTCTATTGCAGCATAACTAAGGGAGGATTCAGGGTCACCTGGTCCAGCCCTAACTATATGCTTTAGCAAAAAGGAAAGTTTGAATCTTGAAAGTAGAGATAGTGTCTGTCTCCTGAATCCAAACTGGAAGCTGGTTCCACAGAATAGGGGCCTGAAAACTGAAGGCTCTGCCTCCCATTCTACTTTTAAATACTCTAGGAACAACAAGTAGGCCTGCAGAGCGAGAGCGAAGTGCTCTAATAGGGTGATATGGTACTACAAGGTCATTAAGATAAGATGGGGCCTGATTATTTAAGACCTTGTATGTGAGGAGCAGGATTTTGAATTCTGGATTTAACAGGAAGCCAAAACAGGAGAAATCTGCTCTCTCTTTCTAGTCCCTGTCAGGACTCTTGCTGCAGCGTTTTGGATCAGCTGAAGGCTTTTCAGTGAGTTTTTAGGACATCCTGATAATAATGAATTACAGTAGTCCAGCCTGGATGTAATAAATGCATGAACTAGTTTTTCAGCGTCACTCTGAGACAGGATATTTCTAATTTTAGAGATGTTGCACAAATGGAAGAACGCAGTCTTACATATTTGTTTAATATGTGCATTGAAGGACATGTCCTGGTCAAAAATGACTCCAAGGTTCCTCACAGCGTTACTGGAGGCCAAGGTAATGCCATCCAGAGTAAGAATCTGCTTAGATACCATATTTCTAAGATTTTCAGGGCCGAGTACAATAACCTCAGTTTGATCTGAATCAAGAAGCAGAAAGTTAGCGGCCATCCAGGTCTTTATGTCTTTAAGACATTCCTGCAGTGTAACTCATTGGTGTGTGTTATCTGGCTTCATGGACAGATAGAGCTGGGTGTCATCAGCATAGCAGTGTAAATGTATGCTATGTCTTCTAATTGTGCTGCCTAAGGGAAGTATAATGTCTGGTATCTCCTCCTCCTCTGTCACAGAAAAGTACAATGTTGATATCCATTGTTCTACTGATTCTAAGTTCTGGTTCAGGACATCCTGCACGGACGCTCTAACCCAGAGACTTATTCTAACCATCTTCTGTGTGTGTGTTGCAAACAACCCTCTGCAATACAGTTCCTACAATATCAGTCATGCCGAACGACGCTTTCGACCTTCAAAAGACGGATCGCCAACTCATTGAGCACATTTGCAGTGTGTATATAAACATAAATAAAACAGTTTTATTTATACTAATAAAACAAAGGTTTTCAACCCTAACATCATCACCAGGCCAAGAAGAAATTCTCTGCATGTTTTTGATTGAAACTAACTTGTATCTCTTCTCATGCTGAGTTACTCGCCTCCTTGGCTGCTGGAATACTGGATAACAGCTTGGAAGTTGCTTTCTCCTGATTCCCTCCCCTCACGTCTACTCACCTGCAGATTCAAGTTAGCCCCTCACCTCACCTGTGTTACTGAGATTTCTGATTTTCTCCCCTCCGATCATCGACTTTTCTCTCCTCTGTTGCAGTGTCTTTTCCTCGGAGACTCGTTGTCCCTTGTGCAGCAGAAACAGAGATCCTTCACACTACATAACATCACCATAACTTGTAAATGCATAACAAACTAGTGAAAACCAAACTTGCCTCAGCACTGTCTTTGGGTCCACGCTCTCTCTCCACCTGGCTTTAGCACTATGTTGCATAAAGATGATCCTTGAATTGATCAACTGGATTTTTCACAAGAACTGGTCTGCTATTGGTCAAAAAGAATGAATGGGTGCAATGACAAACTCTAACTTAAACTAAAGGTAACTACAAGAAAATCAAACTGAAGCAAAGGAAAACCAAGATGGCCACCTTCTATAAACTCCAAAGCAGGTGATACAATTTGTTTTAATAGTAGGGGACATCGGTGAGCAACGGCAGGTCCAACAAACAGCATCTCGACAAATATCACAAACTGTTTGTGTGCATGTCAGCTAGCTAAAGGCAGAACTGCGGTTTTTCTTAGCAAAGATAAATATAACCTAGTGTTTGCCGAATTCATTCTCAGGGATTTCAAACAAAATAAGAGGAAACTGGAGAAAGATGATGGACGGTTCAGCAGCCTTGTGCCACACACACACACACTGTGTTGTTGCCCTTCTAGTATTTCCCATCCATCCATACCTGTGCTCATCTATCAGCCTGCACAGGATAGACCTGCCTCGCACTCCTTGTACTACAAATAATCCATTTTTAGCACATTTACCAGCGTTTTTGTTTCTCCTGGTGTTTAATCTTTAATTTTGTTCATCTTTTTCCGTGTTCTGTATTTTCCTGCTCTTTCTGATTTCCTTGATGACTTTTCTGTGTATCACCTGTACCTGGACGGCCTCTCATGTCCTTCATTTAGCTCCTCTTCCTCAGTGTGCTTCAAGTTTCCTTAAAATCCCTCCTCTCCCTATGCAGCACTTTGCAAGTGAAGATATTTGTTAAATCAAATACAGTGAAGTGAAACTTTGATTTATGTGTTTGCAGCATTTATTTCCTAACATGCAGAAATGAAGTAAAGCCGTCAGTAAAAGACAGAGAGTCACAGAGAAACAGTCACAGTGAGTTTTTGTTCATGTGGCAGCGACTCCCATCTGCTTCCTCCTGCTGCTGTGACAGGTTTTTGTACGAGGGTTTTTCACTGTGTTTGGGGTGGTCCACAGTGATTGAACATCCACACAGAGCTGAACAAAAACCCTGCAGCTTCATCTGAACCGTCTTTAAAACATGGAATCGGCCAAAGTTCAGAAAAACATCAAGAAACAAAACATCTGCTTCAGGTGAGTCTTCGGCAGCTCGAATTCTACATGGAAATGAATATTTCTTCACTTTTCTGACCCTCACGCCTCTGCTCTGTGTGCAGGTAGACGGTTTTATATTTGTACTTTAACCTGATGAAAACTTACAAATGACTTTCTGATTGTTCCTCTGGTGTAACAGCTCAGTGTCTGTCCTGTGGAAGTGGATTTTTGAACATGTTTGAGCTGCTCTGAGGACTTCTGACAGTCGAGAGGTTTTTGTACGGGGCTGTAACACTGTGATGCACTAACATTTGGAAATCCGATCCGTCTCACCGTCACCCCTAAAGGTAAGAAAAATCCCTTTTTCTTGGCTGATACAGTGAGAAATAATTTCCTTTTAAAGGTCTGTTTAGTCCAAAACTGAGTTTTTATGTTTTAAAGCTTGAACTTGATGGATCAGTAGTGGAGCGATGTGACGACGAGCTGCTGTGAGACAGAGCTGCTCTGCCTGACACAGGATGTCCTGAAAATGCCTTAAATCCTGTTTTCTGTTCATTCAAAGTGTGAAAGTGTCCAAAATAGAGTCAAGTCAGCTGCAACATGTAGCTGGTGTGTTGGAACTCTGCAAATAATGACAGAGCAAAGCCAAAAGTAAAACAAAGGAGAATAATCGGCAGTAAAAAAGAAAAAAAAGATGAACATTAGCTACAGAAACATGTCAACGAACCAACAAACTGTCAGATTTAAAAATCTGAAATTCTGTTTTTAAAATCAAGTTTTGAAAATATAAAATCAAACAAAGTCGGCCTGAATTCTCTGACACGTTTTTGTTTTGATGAGTCTGCTGAAAATATTAATGCGTACAAATAGTAAAGATATATTTAATGTCTGTTCAAACAAACAACAAAACAAGATGTAACAGAAAGCCGCTGATAAGGACTGTAAAGCACAAAAAAGGCAGAAGAGTTATAAATGTGTACAATTTTAGTGACGTAAATAAAAGAAAATGCATCATGTTCATGAAGCTGCTTTTGCAAATTGGCACAGGAAAAAGAAAATCCTGGATAAATAAATAAATACTACACAGGACAGAAGTTCAGGTTCTGGCAGTTGAACACTTGACTCTTCAACATGAGCTCACAGTGACTTTCTGAGTGTTACTGTCTGAACTGAAAATAAAGGTAAAAGCTGTGAGAAAAGTTCAGTTGTGGTCAAAAACATCAAATTAAAGCACTGAAGGTTCGGCACAGATAATACCTGTTTTTATATCCGAGCTTTCAGGAAACACTCACATGTGTTTATGTCATAAATTATGTGTAAAGCATAAAAGAGCAGAACTGAACAGTTTGGCCGAACGTTTGTCGGCAAGTGATGATATATAGTGTGGACGCTGCATTAAACAAAGATAAGTGCATCTGAAAATAAAGTTTATACAACAGAAATAAAGAAGTTTAATATTTACTCAAACATTCAACCTCTGATTTTTATTTATTGGCTCAGTTTGGACCAAAATCAGTTTATTTTACTTTTGTCGGACTGAAATTTGACTCTCAGGTCAAAGAACTCATCGTTAGTTATGTGAAACACAAACAAACATGATGGCTGGGTGTTATTGGCTCAATGTCACGGTGTTTGTGTCAAACTCTTAAATCCTAAAATAAAAGGATTAAAGTGTTCGGAGCGGAGCGAGCAGCGTCTCAGTTCACTGTCGGCTTCCTCTCAGTTTGACTGTTAGTTTGTGTCCACAGGAGCTTCGTGTCAAACAGTCGGCTTATAAAAACCACACAAACTTAATAACTAATGTCAGAGCAGGTGACTAAACTGCTGATCTGCAGCCTGCTGTACGCACAAAGAACAACTAAAACTATTTTGTTATCCTTGAAGTTTAATGTACAAATTTATACAACATGAATTTGGGGAAAGAGTTTTGTGTGTCTTCTCCATCGCACAGTCTTCACTAACATTTAGACACCCTGGACACGAGCGCACTGTTCTTAGCTGCAAACTGCAACACAAACGCACAACAACCAATAAAGTAACAGAACTGAAATATCGATCACAGCACTTCTAAATGTAGAATCAAGGATTCAGGGTCACCTGAGTCATCATGTTTGGAGTTATAGTGTTTCATAAGATTTCATTTAGAAATGTCAGATAAATGAACCTGTTTTAAAGCCGAAACATTAACGTTTGTTTTGTGGACACTGAAACGTGGTTATTTTCTACTTTATAACTTTGTCTGTGTGGTTTTGGTTTGTCCTGCTTTGCTGTGTAGATCGACCTAAAACGACCCCGTCCCTTCACGTTCTGACCCCTCTGGCACCTTCTGCTTATCCACCGCTGCCCGCTGATGCTCTGGGCCCAGAGGTCTGTCTGGCCACTGATTTTTATCCAAAGGAAGGAGAAATGATTATGAATGTCAGGGGGGGCCCAGTCAGCGTGAACATCAGCAACGCCGTTCTGTCCACGAAGACTAAAAGCTACTACTTTGTTGGATTCAGCAACGAGACCATCCACTCCTGCGAGCTGTTAGGAGTCTCCACCAATAACGAAGCTGGTATGAAAACAAACTCACTGAAACAATAAGTAACGTCAGTGTGAGACTCATAACCCTTAAAATTCAGCTGTGTTTGTGTCAGACACTTTTAATCTTTTATTTTTAACACAAACATGCAAATATGGTCATTAATAAAAAAAAGATCAATAAAATGATTTCATGTCATAGACGGTTGAGACTTTGTTTGACATTTGAAATTTAAACCCTTCTTATATTATTTCGGGTAACAGTTCATCGAGCGTGTTTGTGATTAATGCACTTCATATTTCCACACAGATGACGCCTGCAGCAGCGTCTACCCAGGTGAGCGTGCAAACACACCTGCACACGTTCAGCTCCTTCACAGTCACATGAACGAGATCGTCACTGCTGTCGGGAAGATTTAGAATTCATTCACACAATGAAAGATTATTGTGTAACCTCAAATATTATGTATAATATATAACGTCAGCCACACAAAACATGCAGTTCATATCAGAGAGCAGCAGAAAAACATCTGTTTGCTTTTTACTCAAAGTTTCATTTCCAAAAAAAACAAACAACAACAAAAAAACAAAAGAAAAGAGAATAAAAGTAAAAAAGAACTGAAGTGTAAATATGATAAAACATCAGTTCAGCCTCGGTCTCATGTGTGAGTGCTGATGCATCAGTGCAGAGAACAACACACTGATGTGTTCACGTTAACAAACAACATGCAGGAACATAAATATAAAGAGTTGTGTTTATTAATTAAACTGCAGTCGTGAAAATGAATTTCTTCTGTGTCCTTTGTCTCTGTGTCGATCTGTGGTGACGATCGACACAGGAAACCTTTTTCATCTCTTTTACCTTCCTGTTGAAGTCGTGTTCGTGTCAAAGATTCAGTCCGAGCTAACGCGTCTGTCTCTCTCTGTGTAGAAAAAGCAAAGCTCAACTTCTACCTGCTGGTGATGAACGGAGTCAGAGTGCTGTTCACCAAGACTTTGGCCTTCAACACCATCCTGACCATCAGAGGTCTGCTGGTCTGAGTCCATCAGCAGGTCGGCGACATCGGATCAGAGCTTCAGCTTCAGTTTCTTTCTCCTGTTTTTGATAAAAGCACAAATGTTCAGGAAGTCTCCTGTAAATTCACACTTATAGCACAAACATTTTAGGATCGTTTGCCTTCATATAAGAGCAACGTTTCAAATTCCAACAAAATCTAAAAGTAAACACAGAAATTTTGACCCAAATGGAAAAACGTGGAAACTCCTGAAACATTTTTATCATTTTGTTGTAAATACATGCAAAAAACATTAAACCAGAAACATAAAATCTGTTAAATGTTTCAAATTATTTATGCAAAATACAGCAAAGACTCGACGTCAGCGTGCAGCGTGGCTGTGCCGAGCTCGCTGACGTCGCCATCTGGAGCTAAACTTTCCTTTAAACATTAGTTTGAAAGAACAAAGACTAATTAATGAATCCAGTGAACTGATTCAACATGAAAGGCCCTGATGGTCTCAACAAGAAGAACCATGTCGTGTGTTAAATCTGCTGATGTGTGAAAGTGTGAGGCGAGCTGTGCTGGCAGCTTCGTCCTGCTGTAAATACAACCTGTCAGCTGTTTGTACAAACATTACGTTTATTTTTACTTCCTGTCGTTTATAACAACATCGTTTGTATCTGACTTTTGTCTGTACGTTTTATTCTCCGCTCTCACTGAAACGTCGTTTGCTTCTAATACAAAATAAACTTGCTTGTTTTTGAATCGTCTCTTCCATTTCTGATACTGATTGAAACTTGGGCAGCATCATCAGTCACTGCAGGTCTTTGGTGGCTGCAGCCTCACAGAGCATGTGAGCTGCCACAGGGTTAAATAAAGGATTGCTCTTTGATTAAAAGCTTCCCTCCAATCGGATCATTTACAGTTTAAGTTTGCTCACAGGTGAAGTCTCTGTCTTGTTGGACCTGTGACGTCGTCATCAGTTGACCCCGTTTGCCTCATCGTGCTTCACTGAGTCTTCCTGCTTTCAGTTGAAACCACAGTTCAACTGAAAGCTGAACAGTCAGACGTGAAGCTGCAGATAAAATCAGACAGAAACCAACAAGCTCAGTTTCACATCGACAGGAAGCTGTGAGCAGCTCGTTTCCTCGCACGCTTTGTGCAACACCCTCACAGCAAGTTACGCGTGACAGCATCACACTGATCATTGAAGGGAAAACATGCAATTCTTTTGTTTTATTGTTAATTAACTTTGACTTTTATCACACACTAGAATCAGATGCAACAAACAGAAAAACATGTTTAAAACACTTTCGTGAGACAAATGTCCTGTTTTGATGGTTGTAAGAATTTCAGCGCTCAGCTCTGTAACAGCTGCCGAAGGTTTCTCCTCTTCAAGCTCACAGATGCATAAATGATAAACTGTTCGATGCAGGAATCTTTGATTTCCATGTAAATCTTAAACCTCGTTATCGTGCTGCTTTATGCACATTTAGTATTGATCTGTTTACATGCTCCCACAAATAAAACATCAACCAAACACTGGAGCAGCTTCACCCTGAAAGCTCAAACCTGTCAGAGTTGTTTCTAAAAGCCGAAGTGACACAAACGCAGCTGCCACAGAGAGACTCTGCCCCCCAGAGGACGGGACAGGGAGAGCATCACGTTCACAGCATTGTGGCCTGATGATGTTGGCTGAGTCTGACTGCCACAGGCCCGCCTAATGTGAGTCAGATGAATTAGGTTGGCAGCGCTGTGACTGAACTGTACTTAGCAAACATGGAAACTTGGATTAAGCTCAAATTATTCTGCAAACTGGGTCAGAGCCCAAAATACTCACTAACAGCCGGATCTTTTATTCACACTGTTTTTAGGCCACAGGTGAAGTTTGTCTGAGAAACAGGTCACATCAGCTCTGCTTCCTGCATCTCACACAAACTATAAATGTAGTCCTGGATGAGTCTGTGTGTGAGAGAAGGAAGCAGAGGAGGCGTTCGTCCAGAGATCCAAGAGACAGTCAGGCTTCCTGCAAACACACTGTGAGTTTCATGTGTAACACACACACACACACACACACACACACACACACACACACACACTTCAAACTGTCTGTCAGTTAGCTTGTTTTAAACTTTCAGCTCATTTTTCTTTGACTTTTACACTAATGACTCATTTTTGACTGAATCATTTCCATCATGTGTTTCAGTTGTTCTCAGTTAACAGACATTTTTAAAAATATGGTTACATTAGCCTCGATCTCTCTCTGCCGTGCATCCGTCTGACTGTGGGCACCTCCTCCTGTTATCCAGACAAACTCTCAACAGGAAGTGACATCATAGTTTACCTGCTGGGCAGCCTGTTATCAGGTTACCACGACTACAGAGTGGATTATCACCAAATATTAATCAGGTGATAGCTAAAAGCTAACGCAGATACTAGTTTGTACAACATCTAAATAAAAGCTCTGTTAGTGCCAGTAGCCGCTCAGCGCGCTGTATTATTGGTCGCTGGTTATTATTGGTCATTAAAAAGGCTCCAACAGCACAAACAGGGTCCAGAGGTCCAGTTCAGGGACTCTAATTAACTGAGGTGAAGCCGAGCAGACCACCTGTGTCACCATCCACCTGTCAGTCAAAGAGGCCACGCCCCCAATAATGCAAACATTAAGCTTAAAATCAGCTGTTATGAAGATCGAGGCTGTAAACATGTTTACGTCTGATGTGATGTGAACACGTAAGTGTTGCAGGAAGTTTGAGGAAGTTTTTCTTCAGAGTTTGATGTTTGACAACAACTCCAACGATCAGCTGAACTGAACTCCAGTTCTAGTCTTAAACTGTAACACAGCTAAACTTCACTGAGATCGTTTATACAGAATAATCCTTTCATGCAACGCTGATTATTTCTGCTCCACACTGTGACCTGTGTGAGCTCTTAAAAGCTTTAAAAAACAAGTAAATTTGAACTTTTGTAATCTGGGTTTTAGGCCACACCCCTCTGACAGAGGTGGCACTCGTGGGAATAACTGGATCAGGGGACACAGGTGAGCTGTGCAAACACAGATGCTTCATCCAGAGGAACACAGACAGCGTGTTTGGTTAGACTCAGTCTGAAGGATTAAGGTGGATTTCTGAAAACGAGCACAGTGACTCTTCCACATCGTCTCGGGTAAGTTTCAGTTTACATGATTTTAATTTGAACAAACAGTGTTAGAAAAATGTTATTTCTACGTAAAAACAAACAAACAAAACAGGACAAACAAAGTCTCGTACAAACAAAATGGAACGACTCAGAAAAAAGTGAATGACACAATCTTTATGGAGGAAAGATGTGTTTTACTCTTTGATAGCAAAGCTTCTTTTAATGAATGTGTAATTATCTAAATGTTTCACACTGTCATCAGAGAAACGACCAGTTAATGCAGAAAACCAAACAAATGCAAACTGTGAAGGTGACAGGAGGAAAAAAAACACTGATCACGGACAGAAAATCTGAATATTTGACATCCACACGAGTCCGTGAGTATTCGTCACAGTGTGAGTCACAGTGTAAGAATCAGAGGACAGACAAACTTTATTTTGGCAACGGAACCAAACTGACTGTAGAGACAGGTAAGAGTTTTCTGTGCTTAAATGATTTTAGACTTTAAAAATAACTTTCATTTGAATTTTTTTAATTTATTACTTTTTGTAGATTCTAATTAGTGCAAACCGAGATGGTTTCGTGCAGTCTCAGTGAGAAACATCAGCTCACAGTGTGAAGTTCAGCTCAGCACAACATGTGAAACATTCAGAGAAGAAGAAACAAACACTGAATGAAAACAGCGCAGAAAGTGTCAATACAGAACCTGCAGTCAGGAGTTTTATTCGCTTTCAATTTTGTCTGATTCGTTCGGATTGAGTGAAAAAAACATCAAAAACAGTAAAAACTGCGACACAAGTTTGAATATCTGAGACAAATAATTAAAATAACACATAAAGAGATGTCCTGAAGATTAACGAAGAGACACAACAACAGCAGGAACAGAGCGCAGCAGTATTTGTCACAGTGTGCGTTACTGTGTGACTGGAGGGAACGACAAAATTTATTTTGGCAAAGGAACCAAACTGACTGTAGAAACAGGTAGGAGGACGTTTGCTTTCTTTAGTGTTTCGTTTTTGTGCGTCTATAGAGAGTTTATGTGTGTGTTGCATTTGTGTATTTATAGAACTGGACAGATTTTGATTGATAGAAATAATCAGGCTGTGAGCAACACAGACAAACATGCAAATAAAATAAGAGTTTAAAATGAATTCAGATTTGTTGATTAAACGATTAAACGTTCAACAGCGTGAATAAAAATATGACTCATGCTGCTGTAAAACAATGAGATCAGTTAATACATGAACCCAACAGACGCACAAACAGATGCAAATTCCTCCATAAACACCATAAAAATATGAAATAAGTTAAATTTCCAGTGAAAACATCAAATGTAAGCTGTGAAAGACAAAAGTGGTATTTGTCACAGTGTGTGTTAGAGTGTGAATCAGGGAGGAAACAGCAGACTTTATTTTGGCAAAGGAATTAAAGTGACAGTAGAGGCTGGTAAGATGATTATATTTCTATATTTTTATGACCAACACTGTGAAACGAGCGACTCGGTTAAATGTTTTAATATTTTACTGAAACATCCAGACTCTGCAGACAGTAACCATGGATACACGAGCACCGTGTGTTAGACGGATTAATGAAAGAAATAAGCACGACATGAAAGTGAGTGAAAATCTAAAGCTGACCTGAAACATGGTGCAGCAGTTTTTGTCACAGCGTTTGCTGCAGTGTGACGAGAGGAAACGACAAGCTTGTCTTTGGCAGCGGCGCCAAACTGAGCGTAGAGACGGGTAAGATTTAACGTGGAGTCGGGTTTACGATTTTATGATCAGCTCAGAGTCTGCAATCACTGTTTGCATTTATTATTACATATTTGAAAGGTTTTCGCTCAGTTTGATGGGCTAACGCTGCAGGCTGACGACTGTCTGGGAAAATAACGCAGTTAAAAACACGATTGGTGATCCTGAGTTTAAATGTTGGGATGAAACGACTAAACTGGTTAAAACAGATGAAAACAACACAGAATGAGACTGAGTGCAACATTATAAATGACACAGAATAAATAAACAGAAACATCTGGAGAATAACGAGAGCAGCAGTATTTGTCACAGTGTGTGTTAGTGTGTGACTCAGGGGGGAAACTACAGGCTTTATTTTGGTAAAGGAACCAAACTGATCGTACAAACTGGTAAGAAGAAGATTTCTTTATTATTTCATGATTTACATTTTTGTCTCATTGAAGTTGAATTTAGGCTGCAGATCGTGAAGTAAAACATATGAACACATTTATAAAAGGATTTCCAAACAGAAACAACCAAGTAAACCAAAAGATAAAAATCATCAAAAAGACGTCAGCATGAAATCTGGAAACTAATACAGATTCATGCAAAAACAACAAGATGAATAAAAACCAAAACGTTTCAGTGAAAATCAAAATGGAAACTTAGTCCTCATACAAACAAGGTATTTGTCACAGTGTGTGTTACTGTGTGAATAACCAGGGAGGCAAAATGACTTTTGGGAGAGGAACCAAACTGACCGTACAAACTGGTGAGATACAAAAAATGCTTTT